CCAATCAATGACTCTCTCATCATTGATGTTTCTATCTCTCTCTCTCCCTCTCCTTTCCTCTCTCTGAAATCAATAAAGATATATTTTAAAAAAACAAAACAAAAACAAAAATACACCCAAAAAACATAAAGAATAATAATACACAAGTATAAAATGCTTATTATGTCCCAGATGCTATTGTAAGTGCTTTACATACTTAATTTATTTAATCTTTCCAACAGCCCTATGAGGAGGGTTCTGTTTCCCCCCATTTTGCCAGAGGTTAAATCAACGTGGCCAAGATGACACAGCTAGTATGTGGTAGAGCTGAGATTCAAGCTCTCAGTGTGGCCCACAGTCCTTGGCCTTAATCACTCAGCAGTTTTGGTTTTACTTTCCCTGGGTTTGGCTGATTTAGTGGTGAATTTGCCCCCTTTTGTCCCTTGAGTCCTTTGCTAAAAATTGGAGCAAACGGTAGCAGGCAAGTGGAGCTGCCTCAGTTATTACCCTCCTGGTTCAAACCTCTGCCTTTTCCACAGGTATGTCCAACGAAAGAGACTTCAGCATTCACTTTTTCTTTGAAAACTAAAAAGCAGCTGTTCACTAACGTGGTTAAGTAAGTGATATCTAAGGCTCACTTTTAGAAGATTAGCTCACAAAATAAAGGTACAGCAGCAATGTGATGCCTTTTTCAGAAATCCTAAACAGGTTCTAGAATATTCCCTCATCTGACGCACAGTCACTGATGATATTAATTCTCTAGTTCACCCATCTCTGAAATGGGAGACCGAGCCTCTTCCTCAGGTGCCTGGACTGGCCCTGGCCTGCCGCCAGTGTCTTTGTCACCATTTAACCATATAACTGAAAATACAGCCCGGACGGAGACCTGGGTTCGCTTTCTGCGTCGGTTCCCACCTCCGCAAGCACACTGGATCCTAACAAGAACACCAGTAAAATCAAGCTGCCGCAAGAAGTTGCTGCCTCAAGTGAAATCTGTGAACACCTTGAAATCGGAATCATTTCCCTGTGGCTTTGCCTCCGTAAGAATCCCACCCATTCTAATCAGTGCCCTGTCGTGTCTTATGAACTGAAATGTTAATTCTCTTTTCTTTAGCAACTAAGACTCTGTAGCTACTTCTGCCAGGGAGTTGGGAGTTAGAAAACGTTTATCGACACCTGAAGCTGTTTGCTAATAAACAAGTTGACATATCTTTCAGAACATAGTATCATCTTTTTAAAAAGGTATTTAAACAGAAAACACATTTTAAAGCATATGAATCTCCCACAAGGTTATTTTACTTTTTAAATGAGACAAGGAAAGGGGGATCATTTCATTCTCAAGCAAATCCTTTTTTTGCCTCTTCACAGGGATAAAAGGGGCCCTGGGTCTCCATTCAACCTGGGTTTGAATCTTGACTCCACCATTGCCATTAATTTTGGCTCTGAGCCCCCATTTCCCCACCTGTGAAAGGGAGATTAACATGCTATCATTATCTGTGAGCGAAGAGGCCCGTTACAGTTAACCATGGTAGACATGATGGCAGCAACTAGATTATAAGATTTCCGCGCACGCTGCTCTTTCTAGCCCATGATTTGGAAAGAGAGCAAATGGTAACTGATAGATAACCACGAGCCTATTGGGTGGTTGTCAGAAGGTGAGCGGTAGTTGTACAGTGTAGAGGAAGAGCTAACACCTTAGAATTAAATGACTTTTCATCTGGACTTTACTACTCAATGGCTGAGTTACCCTGGGCAAGTTATTTCATTTCTCTGAGCTTTACTTTCCTCTTCCATAGATTGGAAACAATATTGGTCTTTTTCTATCTCAGAACTATTGTGAGCATCAGAGTAAATAAGGAAATGTCTTTTGTAAACCAAGAAAGTGTGAAGTGGCTGCAGGAGGCTTTGGAGGGTGGGTCCTTACTGCAGGACAGTGAGAACCCCCGATGGAGGGGCTCTTGGCCCTGCCCCTGGGTCCCACCCCTGCCTAAACACCTATGTTTATAAGCTGTATCTTTGGATGCCTCTAAGATGAAGTGGATAGCATGATGCAATGTTGAATGCAAAGTGGGAGATGAGATACTTTTCTGGGAGAAATGTTTCCATAAGTTTCTTTAACGTATGAGTTATGCCTGGTTAGGAAATTTCACTTACATGTGCAACTGGACGAAGGCGCATGTTAAGAGCTTTTACTGGAAACAATAAAGAACTAAGAGAGTAAGAAAGGAAGGGGAGGAAGGAGTTTGGAGTTTGGAGCAGGAGTTGCACTTGCCGTCATTAAACCTGGTCATTCAAGGCTGGCGTTTGGGGAGGAAGAGCCAGCTGTTGTGCTGCAGGGGGCACACCCAGGCCCTGGTTTCCAGAGGCTGGGCTTCCCCTGCCCAGCTCTGACTCTGCTGTTTGGGAGCAGGCATCTCACTATCTTTTCCATGTGTGCAAAAAGTCAGGAGTCTAAATGGATCTCTGTCTTTTAAAAATGTCAGTGATGACAAATGTGTGCATTGGAATCTGGTTAAGGGGGAATTCCTTTGAAATTCTCGTTTCTCGTTTCCCGCCACGGCCCAGAGATAGATACTGGCCACATTTGGGTATGAAAACTCTCAGCCGTGCCATGTTCTCCTGCCCCTAGAGAGTCATGTTCTGTTTGAAAAGGGCTGAGAAAATGAAGGCTGTTTTTTCACTTGGAATAAGAATATCCTTCTCAAAGCAGTAAGGGTTCTTGCGAGTAACAGGATCCATATGGCGAAGCTGGCTGCTGATGCTCAGCTCATGGGCCCGTGGACTTTGCGCGCAGAAATAGGCCTCTAGTGCTCGAAGAAACGGCCAGTGGACTCCAGGGAGGACCATTACCTAGGTGACGGATAGCCTGGGCACAGCGTCTGGGCTTCATGGGCCCCTCGTACCTTGGAATGTGAGCCACAGAAGGGGGTAAGAAAGGTTCTGCTTGGCCTTAAGATGGATGGCGCTGTGTAACACCGCCATGGTTGCCTGCTCTGGAACACCCTGTGCTCCCCAAAGTACCATGGGCCCCATAAGCTCTGGGCTCACCCCAGCCTGTTCGGAGGTGGTGAGTTGGAGGCCGGGTTGCTCTTCTGGTCGGCCAGACTGTTAACCTGAATGGAGACAGTTTACCCTCTACTTGCACAGGGAGCACTGTGTAACGTAAAGAACACTTAGCTGGAAGCCGGGCCTGGGCTCTGGNAACCTGAATGGAGACAGTTTACCCCCTACTTGCACAGGGAGCACTGTGTAACGTAAAGAACACTTAGCTGGAAGCCGGGCCTGGGCTCTGGGGCCACCCTGGCCCTACCTGGGAGCGACCTGAACGGAGTCACTTTGCCTCGCTTTTCTCATCTGGAAAATGAGTGGGACATGGCGATGGTTGAGACTCCGCCAGGCTCCCTTGGTGTAGAGCGGAGTGGCACCTGACCCCTTGGGGAGTGGAGCGACGGGAAGAGCAGCCCAGCCAGTCGCTGCCCTGGCTGCAGTGCCCTCCTCGCACACTGCATTCCCCTGAGCTCTGCGCCTGGGGGCGAAGCGCGGGGGGTTAGGGGAAGACTGCACTGCTCTCAGGAAGGATTCGGACCTGAGCCCCAAATGAGTAAGCAGCAGCTAACCAAGTGCGAGGAGGACCAGCTGCCCCTCGATCACCCTTAAATTCCTCCAAACCAGCATTTGAGGTCCCTGAGTCCTCGCCTCTTAATCTCACCAGGCAGCGTTCAGCATCCCCTCCCAGCCCCGACGCTGTGCCTGGTTCCTCCCCTACCTGGCTCCTTCCCTTCTCAGTCCTGTCTCCCCCCAGCCGCCTCTTTCTCTCTGCACCCTCGGCTGGGTTTTGCCAGATCTGCTTTGTTTGCTGGTGGGATGGGCAGGAAGGCCTTGCCCCCAATAGCTGAGGTGCCCCCATTCACAGCCCCCACTCAGGCCCTTTGGTCCCTCTCTTTTGCTGAGCAGGACTGTGGTCCCTTCATCAAATGAGCGCAGACAGAGACCTGCAGCCGCTCTGTCTGCATGTCAGTCACCATGGCGACCATCCTGCTCTCGCTGGGAAGGGAACCCGGCTGTTCTAACCGGGCTCAGCGAGTCGCCCTTACCCAGCCCGCGTTGTCCAGGCCCCTCCCTCGTGTCTGCTTTACGAAGCTGCATGCACTGAACCAGACGTCTGTTAGCCTTTAGCCTTCAGATTTGCTTTACCTAAGAGGAACGGACGCAGAGGAAGCTGAATCCAAGTGAATAAAAGCTTTTCTTTTCTGCCCTAAAACTGTATTTTCACAAGGAACAGTTATCTGCTCTGAGCAGATAAACGAGAAGCTGAATGAATACAGGAATCTGAGGTCCGGGGCAATGTGTTTTGTCTTATCAGTGGGGTGGGATGGCAGGGCATGTGGCTATGCAAATAAAAATTCATGTCAAGCAGCCAAGGGACACGGGGGACTCCTCCAGGCAGGGCACAGCATTTCCGAGGGTCTGACACCGCGGTGGTGAGGTTTGATGTTGGCTCCTGTTATGGAAGGAGGCATACTGGTCGTATAGTCACGAGGAAAGGGGAGCATTGGTGTCCCCTGCTTCCAAATCCATCTGGATCGTCACGTGGAATCTTCTCCATGGTCGTTAAGCATGGTTGCCCTGCAGGCTGGCAGGAGACCCCTGTGTAGAGTTTTGGAGTTGCAGGCTTCCCTCCTGACACAGCCCTGGGGACACTTCACATTGATTTCCAAAAGTAGCTGGCCAGGCTGCTGCTTCTGTGACTCTTGGTGCAGAGGTCATCCCAGATCTCCCGGGGCACCTTGCTCTATGCGATAGAGGACAGCAGTGCCCAGGAAGTGGTCTGACCATGTCCGCTCTTGGATTCGACATGGGGACCCGTGGATTCTATGGCGGTGACTAGTTCTTAAGACCCAAACAACCATCTCCCTCCGCTCTTTCTTAAAGTGAGCAGGGAGACCCCAGTTTTGAATGAAAGCTTGGTTTCATTCTCAGGAATTTGAATGTGTGTTTAAACTGGACTTGGTCTTTTTCAGTTTCTCTGCAGGTGGATATCGTTCCCAGCCAGGGGGAAATCAGCGTTGGAGAGTCCAAGTTCTTCTTATGCCAAGGCAAGTGCCCAGCCCCCTGCGTTCAGGAGGCCCTCCCGGCCGAGCAGTGGCCAGCGGGCTGTGTGTGCCGGGCTGACCGCACCGCACCCAGGATTCTTGGAGCTGCTTTGCTGCAGGGTCAAGTGCTGAGAGCCAGGGCAGCTCTCGGGCCCTCTTCCTCCCCCGGTCAATGCAGTGAACTGTGTCCTCTGGACTTCCCTTGATAGTGGAGGAGCTCTAGGGATGTTCCTAGGAGAGTCAGCACAGCTCCCAGTGAGTCCTCTCTGACCACCCCCCCGCCCCGTACACATCCAGAGCTCTGCAGATGACAACGGACAGAAATGATGCTTCAGTGGGTCCGTGTGAAGCTTGTCCTCAGAATCCCTCAGAACAGGAAAATCCAAGCTCAAAAACTTGCCTGAAAGAAAATTGAGTACACGTATCTCCTTTGCTGTGAGGACATGTGCCCTGGGTCTATTGTGAATTTAATATTCTGTCCCATCGGTCCCACCAGAGCTTTAGGATTTGTCAGACCCGGTGTCCTTGTTTTCTCTTCAGAAATTACTCCCCATTTCCGCAGCTCAGATAATTACCAGGAAATGTCCTGTGGAGGATGAGCCTTCAGATTAGGCTTGAATTCTCTGTACGTGACGTGACTGGGATTTGGAACATTGGGGAACCAGGGAAGAGCTGAGCTAGGTGTAAGCTGTGACATTTAGCGAGCAGCTTGCAGCAGGGAGGGGCCCTGACGTGCCATCGCGATTTGCGCTGGGTGAGGTGGCTCTGGCCGCCCCATGTGTTCACTCCAGCGTCGCCTTCATTACGGTGATTTGAATGATCTGGGGATGCAGCCTTGGAGCCCATCTTGCAAATAGCGATATTTATTGGAAACATGATGGGCCTTGAGAGGAGGACTGTTTCATTTCCATACCAAGCATCTGTTTGGGGCCGGGTGGTGTGGGCCGGGAAGGTGCGTGCAGATAGGCAGGCAAAGCCACGTCGCCAGACCCAGGGTCCTCGTTCCAGCTCAAACAGCTAGGCGGCAGCATCTGCCCCTCCCCGGTGCCTGGGGAAAGGACACATGGCTCATTCTGGCTGTCTTCACAGCATTTAAGGAGATGAATTTGTCTGTCTGTGGCAAGGGCTGCTGGAATGCCAGCCATGCCAGTTTGTGCAGGCAGATGCTAGAATAAACGTAGTTGGAGTCCCTACTCCTAAGACTAGCCGACGTCTCATCGTTCCACTCGGGACTATAATCTGAGCCTTTGAACACAAGCCTGTCAGTTGGCTGAAATCAGCTAGTCCCTTGATCACAGATCCTAGATTTGCTGACTCCCTTTGTCCCCTTGTCCCCCCACACAGTAGGTCCTCAGCAAATTCCTCCTCCCTCACTAAGGATAGGAGCACTATGTGAAACACTGGTACGAGTGCTTGCTGAGTTCCTTCCCAATACCGCAAGTGGTGTTATGTGATAACCGTTAAACACAGAAGCCAGAGTGACACCCTGACGGAAATGGTCGCCCCTCCCCGATCATCAAGCCTGATGGTCTCGTGCAGTAGCTCTTACTGAATACCACTGTCACCCGGGAGGGGACTTTGTCTTTTCAACTTCTGTGGTTTGAAAGTAGTCTCTTCCTCTGCAGTGGCAGGGGATGCCAAGGACAAAGACATCTCCTGGTTCTCCCCCAACGGAGAGAAGCTCACCCCAAACCAGCAGCGGATCTCGGTGGTGTGGAATGACGACTCTTCTTCCACCCTCACCATCTACAACGCCGACATCGACGACGCCGGCATTTACAAGTGTGTGGTCACCGGCGAGGATGGCAGTGAGTCAGAGGCCACGGTCAACGTGAAGATCTTCCGTAAGAGCCGCCTCCCCCTCCATCCCTCTGCTCTTTTTGGCCAGGAAGACACATGGGCGGCGGACAGGGTGGGATGGCAGTAGAGGACCAGCTGAGGGCTGGCAGGGCTTCTTGCCTTCTTTCTTCACCCTAAGTCTTTTCCGAAGTGAGCTAAGAGCTCCAATATGCTATTAAAGGGTCCTGGGCCAACTCAGAACTCACAACCCAGGTTCATGCTGATCAAAGCAACTTCCCACTGGCCTCCATTCTTTAATTTCAAACTATACCGTTCCCAGAGAGCTATTGCAAGTGCCCCTGTCCCTTCCCCAAGTGTTGACTGACTGTTGGACAACTCAAGACCTCCTCTTATTTCACTCCCCCTGCTGATAACGGAGTCCAGAGGCTCGGTGGGGATTGTGGGGGTGGTATTATTGAAACACTCTGACACTCACAACAGGCAGCTCCAATTGCCACTGAAACCTGTCTGATGGTGGCATTGCTCTACCTTGTCCCATTGGTCATTGTAATGGTGGATGACAACTGATGGAACGGTATGGATTGCCACAGTCTTTATTGCCATTGTTGCTTTTCTTCTGTTCTGTTCCTTAAACATTATCTCTGCTATAAGAAAGTTGGGGTTGGGAGACAGAGTGGGAGACAGAGGAAGGATTGATGACTCCTACTAGTCATTGCAGAATAGGTGTTCTGCCAGTTCATTCTGCCTGTGCCCCCAGGGCACCATCCTGCATGGCAGGGGACCCTTGGTAAAGACACTTCTCTCCCTCCACAGCCGTTTTACACACAAGGTGTGAAACATTTAGCATTCCCTGAATAGGCAGTGATGGCCAGATTCTGATGCCGTATCCCCCTGCTTATGCCAACTGTTCCACCTGGCATCTTGGTCCAAGCGCTGAGTTGGACCTACTCCTGTACCACTGCATATATGGCTTGAGTTGCCTGCAACTCGAATCCAAGCCCTGTGGCCCCAGGGGAAAGGGATCTTTGTGGGAGAACCAGCTGTCTCCCCTCACTCTTCTCTTGCTTGTTTTCCAGAGAAGCTCATGTTCAAGAATGCACCAACTCCCCAGGAGTTCAGGGAGGGGGAAGACGCAGTGATCGTGTGTGATGTGGTCAGCTCTCTTCCCCCAACCATCATCTGGAAACACAAAGGTCGAGATGTCATCCTGAAAAAAGATGGTGAGACCTGAATTCCCTGGCAGCTGCCTTTCCCCTGGACCACCAAATCCCCTAGGGTTCCACCTCTGCAAGCCTCTGAGCATTTTGACCTAAACTCAGATCCAGTGGCCCTCCCAGAGCATGCAGTTTCCAGGTCCTGAATGGATGTGTGTCTGTGGCTTGTATGTTCAGGCACTTGACTTTCTCTCTGAAGAAAAAGACAAATTACAATAGACTTTTGCTTTGGCTCTATGTCAGAGCCAGGGACTCATTTTCTTATTTCAGCTTAAAGGCCCACCCCATGAGACTGAACTAGCAAAAAGGAAAGGCTCAGAGACCTTCTTACAGATACAAGTTCTCTAACTGATCCTTGGATGAACCTGCCTCTTGTCTCTTCTAGTCCGATTCATAGTCCTGTCCAACAACTACCTGCAGATTCGGAACATCAAGAAAACAGATGAGGGCACTTACCGCTGTGAGGGCAGGATCCTGGCACGGGGGGAGATCAACTTCAAGGACATTCAGGTCATTGTGAATGGTGAGGAGATCCGTTCTTCCCACTCTCCCCATTGCTATAACCTTGGTCCCTGAAATCATTCTCTTTACCCTCCTCTTTGGGCTGTAAAATGCAGGCTCACTCATCAGTCTCAGCTGGACCCCTCCTGCCTCCTGTTGCCTCCGGCTTGGTTCTTTTTTCCTTAAATATGCTTGCCTTTTGGGTCTGCCTCAACTATGGGGACTTTTAGTGCAGTTCTTGAATGTCCTTCATTGTCCTGAAGCACTAGAGACTTTCCCCATGCTTACAATTAAATAAATTCTTATTCATTCATTGTCCTTGATGTTACTGTAATTGTGAAGTTAGTCCCTTGGTCCAGTGTTCAAAGAAAATATTATAATCAATTTAGGGCTCAGAATAGTCAGAATCATGGTCCATGGGCTTATTAATCTTAATTTGCCATGTCAGATAAACACACCCATGGAATCGATCTGACATTTACAAGATGTTTACAGGAAATTATAATGTCAGTACTAAGAAAATAAGTAAATCATGGGTCAGATTCTTTTGGCTACTGATTTTTGCCAAATCCTCCCCACTCATTCCTTTGGTAAACAGTTTGTGCACAGGGCTGTTTCTGACATTCCCAGAGAAATGTCACTCTCTGGTGAGCTGGTGCATTTCAAATTGGTGTTAACCACTTAACCACCAGATCAGGAGGTTCAAGTTTTTCCAGTCTGAAGAGTGCCCTTCTGAACACCAAGTTCCACCAGCCATGGTAGTTGTAAGTTGAGTGTGCACTGAGTAAAATATATAATGATAAATAGCTACTGTGAATTGAATACCATTTTTAAATGAATAAAATGCATTAATACAGCTTCTGAAACTATATGACTGAAAAAACAATATTATACAGGGGTGCACAAAAGTAGGTTAATCCTAAATAATAGTACAAGAATAAACTCTGTGTTTCACGTACTCATGCCTGTAAATCTACTTTTTCCCACCCCTGTATATTGTTATAAAACACTAATGCATGTTTGGGGTGAATTATTTATTCGTGCACAATAATTATTTAGCACATGCCTGAATTTAGGTCCCTTACACTAACTCTGCAGCTGCCCAGGACTGTTGCCCCCCAGGCTGTGACCCATGACCTAGGGTCCCCTAGAAGTGCCTCTTCTCCAGGCCCCTGGATTCTTGCACATTTTCAGAACCACCCTGACGGTGCTTCTTTCCTTCAGTACCGCCCACCGTCCAGGCCAGGCAAAGCATCGTGAACGCCACCGCCAACCTCGGCCAGTCTGTCACCCTGGTGTGCGATGCCGAAGGCTTCCCGGAGCCCACCATGAGCTGGACAAAGTAAGACCCTGCTGCTGCCTTTTATCGGAGACTAGCGGAGAAGGGGACAGCACAGGGCCCGCTCCGTGTTGGCACTGCGACGGAACGGGGTAGACCGCTCGGGAATGTGACCAACTCCAAGTGCAGGATGGACTCCTCTGCACGGTGCCCCTGTCCTGGGCATCAGATTCTTTCCTCTTCAGTTTGGGGGGTGGAGGGCATGGCCTTGCACCCCTCTTTGGTATGTCTGCGGGTGCAGTTTACAGCTCTGGGACAGAATCAGAGGTTTGGGTGGAGGAATCAAAGGTATATGTGCAAATACAATTTGGCGCCTTAACTTTCTGTGAAAACGGAGCCTTTCCCATGGGCTCAGACTGCATTTTATGGAAACGAAAAGCAAACATCTTACCTCCGTGGTCGCAGTCATCCTACTTTCCATTCGTGTGCCCTGCAGAGACGGGGAACAGGTAGAGAATCAGGAGGACGAGAAGTACTTCTTCAGCGACGACAGCTCGGAGCTGACCATCAGGAAGGTGGACAAGAATGACGAGGCTGAGTATGTGTGCATCGCCGAGAACAAGGCTGGGGAGCAGGATGCGTCCATCCACCTCAAAGTCTTTGGTAAGGACAGCGGGAGTCAAGCTCACTAAATTCCTCTTACCCTGCACGCTCAACCCATCAGCAAGAGCCCGTCCACTCTGCCTCAGCCTTGCCCAAATGCAGCCGCTTCCTGCCAGCTCTACCACCCATGCCCCAGTTCAAGCCACCCTCCCGCTCCCCTGGTCAACGAGGCAGCCTCCTAGCTGGCCTCCCTGCCTCCCGCAGGTCCCCTTCACCCCTCCTGCTCCATAAGCCCACACTGTTTAAAGCCCTCCCTTAACTCCCTGTTGCAACCAGAATAAATTCTAGACTCCCTACCACGGCCAGCAAGACTAAATCTGAGCTAGTCCACCTTCCTTCCCAGCCTCTCTTTCCTCTACTTTGTTCTATATTTAAAACTCTCAGGCCTCTTTTCAGTTTTTAGGCACACCAAGCTTGCTCCCTGCCTCAGGGCTGTTGCACTTGATGTTTCTGCTGCTTGGAATATCCTTCCCCCAGATCTGCTCCCAGCTGCCTTCTTCTCTTCCATCATTCAGATCTCAGCTCAACTGCCTTCCCAGTGAATCTTCCCCTCACCGCCCTGCCTAGTGCAGCACCCTTATTACCACCAACTCCCCTGCCTCCACTAATCTCTTCCATTAATCTTACTGTATCCTTTACATTGCACTTATTAGTCCCTGAACTGACCTCATCTACATATTTGTTTTGGGGACTGTTTGTCTCCCACCTGCACTAAGTTTGCCGACTGCAGGATGGCAGAGCCGTGGCTGTCATATGCATTGCCTTACCTCTAGCACTCGCAACACCCCCAGACTCATCATAGGCACCTGGTAGATGGGAGTGACCAGTGCCTCTGTTTTCCTTTGCTTCTTTCCCTGCCTGTGTGAAACAGTGTCATATAAGTCATGGAAAGTGCCCCGCATCTCTACTCACTTCATCTTTATAAGCTCAGCTAACTTCCCTTCATTTAGAACTTAAATGCCTTTTAACCTGACCTTGGGAAAGGGATTTGTGGTGGAGATATGTTCAACTCTCAACTCTCTCTGCTCATCTATTTAAAAACCACAGCTAAGCTGGCCCACTGGAGATGTGCTACTAGAACAGGGGCCCGAGGGGCTGCTCCAGTGCGTGCAGCTTCTGGGCTTTCTAGTGTGTACCCAGGGACCTGTGTGGGACCTGCTTGTTTAGCCTGATCAGGAGAACTGATCTGTTTGTAAACACAGACCTTTGAAAATCAAGTGTTTATATGCAATTGGACTTGCTAATCACAGATGAATCCTATCTATTCATTAATAACAATTGGGTTTATAAACAGTTCCGATTAATTCAGTATGTAACTGAGTACATACTTGAAGGTGAAAGCTAAACTTCTTGGAAAATATTCCTCACAGTCTCTTTTCTAATTCTGATTGGTCTTCCCCAGTCACACTGACTAAGTTTTTTCATATTATAGAGAAAGACAAATGCATTTGTTAATTTATTTTTTCACCTAACAAATATGTATTGAATACCATTGTTGCTAGACAAGAGGGGCCACAGAGATAAGTAAGAAATGGCCCTTTGACCCTGAGATGCAGGAGAGAGATGGACATATACCCATATAAATTATAATAGAGTGTGTCAGTCAACAACATCTGAGTGCCTGGTATGGACCCAGCCACTGCCAAAGTTACAAGGATGAATGATGTGCTCTCTTCTCATCAGTGGGTCCACAGTTCATGTAGATGATCAGCAAAGAAAATTTTAATCCTTTATAATGACTTCATAATAGCAGTATGCACAGTGTTTTGTAGGAAGGATCTCTGGTCCTATGTGATGGAAGTTAGGGGAGCCCCTGCAAATGCTGTGCTAGTAAACAAATAGGAGTTTCCCAGAAGAGGAAAGACAGGTGGGCACTGCAGGCCACACAGGCACAGGCACAGAGGCGGGAAGGGCACGTGTGCTCATTGTGAGCTTCTTGTGGGTGGGCACCTGTGTCTGTTCTACTCACAGATGTCCCCAGAGCCTAGAACAGTGCCTGGCATGTAATAGTTATTAGTGTTTGAATAGATGAGCGAATAGCAATTAGTTTTTTGTGTGAATTAAGCATAATGTATGTGGCAGGGAGATGAGCTTAGAAATGTATAATTATGACTTGCTTTTAGAAAATTCTTTCAAATATAAGCCCCGTAAAATAATAATAATAATACAGAACAGAAGTGAGCACTTATAAGGTGCCAAGCACTATGTGAAGTACTGTTCTTAGCTCCTTTAATCCTCAACTCAACCCTATGAGGTAGCTTTAATTCTTTCCCCATTTTACAAATGAAGGAACTGAGCTCAGAGAGATTAGGTGCCCTATCCGAGATCCAAACCCAAGCCCATGAAACCCAATTTAACCCACATTATATCTAAGTTACCTGTGGAATGATGTAATAGTGAAATTGGGGTACTCTCCTTTCCCACCATGGCTAACTTGGCTTCTCTGTGGAAGCACTGGGTTCGAACCTCACTGGTTGAGGACAGACCTTGGTTTCCCCTCCAGCCTCCCTGGCGGTGACAGCTGCACTAGGAAGGAGGCGGGGGAGTGAGACAGGAGCCTTGTGGGGCCGAGCTAGAGTGAAGCAAGTGGGGAGGTCCAGGGAGGTGGGAGATGAGGCAGGGAAAGTGAGCTGTGGGAGCCGTGGCAAGGCAGGGTGTGTCCGCCTGCCTCCCTCGCCATGCATCCCCTCCTGCACTTCTCTCTCTCCTCTCTCTCTCCTCTCTCTCTCTCTCACACACACACAAGCACATACACACACACTCTCTCTCTACCACCGCAGTTTCTTTCCCAAGACTGCAGCTGGGAGAATGTGCACTGGACAGCTCAGTAGAGCAAACAGAAGAGAGGTGGCCAGACTCCTCCAGAGACAAGTAAGACAATGTAGACTCTTAGGGACCATGTCCCTCCAGCCCCATCCAGATGAGAATCCTCTGTAACATCTGGAGGACAGTTCACTGGCCTCCTTGAGGCAGCCTGGTGCCCACGTACGCGCCGCCTTCCCTCTCGGTTTCCGTTCCTGACCTCCTTTCCTCCTGCTTCCCGCCTCGCCCCTTGCGTTAGGAGATTGGCACTAGGGCCAGGCAGCCGGGTGGGTGAGGCCGGCTATTTAGGGCTGCATCTTTCTCCCCCCTTTCTCTCCCTCTCCCTCTCCCTCTCCTTCCCCTCTGGTTTGCCACCTGGGACTAGCACCAGGGGGAGAAATGGCGCGGCTTCCACAGTGGCCGCAGACTTAGCAGCAGTGAGACAGGAGAGCAAAGAAACCTGTAGCTTAGATAATAAAGAAGTTCTCAGCACTCCCGTGGCTTCAAGAAGGGATGGCGATTAGTGTGTTAGGGGCATATCTAAGTTAGGGTCTGCCTCGTCGCACCTGACGACATCGTTTTTCCTAAGAGAGGGAAACGTTCTAGCAGGCGTTGCCCTCGTTATTGGCCCTAAGGACCAAAGCGGCCCTTCTGAGTTACAGCGAAGGAAAAATGGGGCTGCAGGAAGGTGCACCTGGTCACGCCCAGCCTCTCAGTTCACAGAAACAGGACCCCAGAGCCCTTCTTGGAGTGGGCTTGCAGAAGTCTGGATGGGGGTGGGAGTAGACAAGGCTGGCCCTCAGTGGCAGGGTGCAGAGCTGTGGACACCCTGGAGAGGAGAGCAGGCGTGCTCACAGGAAGGTCCACGGCGAGAGGGGCAACGGAACAGTCTGAGGCATTAGGTCCCATGTGGCAGGTGGAGAATAGAACAGGGACCCAAAGTCAAGGGCCCACGACAGAGGTGAATGCAGATGGTGCAAGTGCCTCGCAGATAAAACATGGACAGATTCCTGGGTGCTGGTTCGCAGAGGGAAGTGACTGCATCTGTCCTGCTTTTCCCCTGACCCTGTGTAATTTAGTCAGAACACTCCTTTCACTCTCGAGTGTGCTCCAACTTGGACAGTCACTTACACGGATGTCCTATTTCAAGGCAGTACACTAAGCCTTCCTTAGCTCTGACAGTAGCCTTGCTTCTGAAGTGCAGAGAGGAAACTCATCATCGAGAAGCTCGCCTTCCTCCCAACAGCCCTCTGCAGGCCATTAGTCATTTTCAGCAATGGTTTTAATAAGAATATAGTTTTCCTTTTTCTACAGACTTGCACCCTTTATAACTATCTGCGAAATGGAGCTGCCAAGACCAACTTTTATTAATAGATGTTAACTTGTCCTTTGTCTTCTGTTAACCTTTGGCCGCCAGAAATGCAACTTTCACTTTGCCTCTAAAACTTCCTCCTCAACAGCACTTAGCACTTACTGCATCTAGTACGAGCTGTGGCCGTTCTCAAAGTCCTGTTTATCAAGACGCAAAGGCTTTGTAGAGGAAGACCTTGCTCGTGGACCCCACTGATTCAAATGTGGGATCACTGGGCCACATTGGAGTGAGATGAGCCCACGTGCTAGCCGGCAAGAAAGGATTTGCTAAGCTGGCTGTTAGTACAGATTAACTTTAGGAGAATATTTGAACTGTGTGGTAGTTTTATATAGAAGCAGATACTTCCTATAGAAAATGCACAGCTCTGTCGTTCTTTTCTGTGTATTAAAGCAGAATCAAGGGCCTCAATTTGGACAATGTGTGTAGGCGGTAGTTCAGTAGCCTGCGTGGGATTTCTATATGATTCGAATATAAAGGAAATGCAGTTCTTTCAAAAATTATCCATAATTCTAATTTATTTATTTTTTGTTTGTTTGTCTAGCCTGGCCTTTTTCTCTATTAGTGAAATAAGTTACATTTGTGCAGTGTTATCGTTTCTATGGAAGGTTTAGCAATTTCAGGGTATAATTGTTTTAAATTGGGAAAATTCAATTTTCTCTAATGTGTTAACATTTAACTCAGCTTTGAATGCTTGTGCTTTCTTGCATTACCCGAAACATTTGGAAAATGAACTCATCTCAACTCATCTCCTCCCCACCCTCAGCCCCCACCGCAACCCGAGTTACCCGCCACTTCTCCTTACTTGAGTTAATGCTAATACAACTTTCCCGGGCATTGCAGGTCTCCGAGTCATCTGGCTCTTCTCATTCCTTCTCCTGTTTCTTGCCATCGTACTTGCCCTTGCTCACTTGCCACTTGCCATAAAGCCTTTCTTTAGCATCTCCCTCTAAGCTGCCCTTTCTCTTCCTCCTGAGACGGCCGATCAGGACTGTGCTACATCACACCCGGGGTGCTGCCAGAGCTTCCAAATCGGTTTTCCCACCTCAAGGTTTTCTCCTTGCTAAATCACCTTGGATTTTTTCTACATTAACCTCTTGTCATACAAATGATCATTTCATCCCTCTGATCAAACCCTGCCAGTGGTCTCCACCTGCCACGGGATAGAAGTAAGCAAGAGCTTTACCCAGCGATCAAGACTGTGCGGGAATCCAGCATTATCTGCTCTGCTAGGATACGCAAACATGGGGCTCTCTTCCCAACCCTCTCGTCACATAGTCTTGCTTCTTTGCTTTCATTCAAGCAGTTTTCTACTGTTGGAATGACTCTGTCACCCCAAAGTTTCACCTACTGAAAATCTCATGGCCCGAACCAAAAGCTGTGTCCCCACGAAGAGGCCAACCAACCGGAGGAGCCCTCTCCCTCTGCTCCTTGCTTCCTGCTCCCATTGCCCTTACTTAGTGTTCTTACTACATAGGATGCTATTTTTATTTGTCACTTGGATGTTGTCCTGTGCCTGCTTCGTGGTGAACTCCTGGGGTTTCAACACCTAGAGCACCGCCTTATGCGTGGGAAGCAGATAACCTTTGCTGTATGGTGCATGCTACCACTTAACCTGGAAAGCTAAAAAAGTTAGATAAACATTACAGGAATATTTTATCTTTTCAGCAAAACCCAAAATTACGTATGTAGAGAACCAGACCGCCATGGAACTGGAGGAACAGGTCACTCTTACCTGTGAAGCCTCGGGAGACCCCATTCCCTCTATCACCTGGAGAACTTCCACCCGGAACATCAGCAGCGAAGAAAAGGTATAATGTCACCCAAGAGTCTCAGGGCCATGGACCGCAGACTCGAAGTGGACTGAGTCTGCCCCATGGCCGTTCTCTTCGGTGAGCCAGAGGGGGGATGTGGTCACTGGAGGCCTCGGCCAGGCTCTGAGGCCTCCCCCTCCAGCCTGCTGGATGCGGCTCACTCCGCATCCCCGGCAACGGAAGGGGTGCAGTTCTTTGCATAGATTGGCAGGGGTGCGATGCTAGTGGGTATAGTCAAGGTAGACGCTCTGGGGAGGAAGGGGGGGTAGTGATTTTCAGGTGCAGCCCCTGGGGGTGTGGAACAGGGCACCACTGTACCCCAGGTGATTTGGCTCTCATTTCCGGAGCACCCAGGGAGATGTGTCCGGGAAATCCCAGGACCAGAATGGGCCTGGCAGATCTCTTCCTCGTGTTTCGTACACTCACGCTCTGCGTGCACTACATGCACAAAAGCTTGGTTGCCCTTGTGTCTGCCTGTGTTCTCGACCACATTTGTATATCATGTCCCAAAGGCAAAAATAGTTAGCAGTTTCCACACTGTGGTTGTCGCGCTGGGCTCTCCAGTGTAGTAGCTGGGAGTGTCAGAACAGCGTCCTTGCTGGGAAGGTTTCACTTGCAAACGTGCACTTACTCACAGACCGCCGGAAAGCTGTCTTTATCGTGGACGGTATGTGATAATCGAGGGCCCTTCCCTGAGCGGGCCCAGCGCAGGAGGAGGAAGCCTGGTTTGAAAGCGACTTAAAACGTCTATGGCTCTCCTCCAAGCTCATCTCATGTGTCCGGGAGTAATGGGCTTCATTTCAGCTGGCCAAAGCCTTGTCACCTATTCAAAAGTAATGGCCTTAGATTAAAAGGACAATTGTAATGGATTGCTTATTGACCAGAGTGTCAGACGTGATAGAGCTTCAGTCTTCTGCTTCCCTAAGGGAAATCCCTAGAGGAGGTGAACGCAAACACAGCCGGGAAGGGACAGTGTGAAGTGCCAGAGCCAAACGGCATCTGCGTTCGAGGAACTGGTTTCCGTCCCGCTAATAGAAAATGAAGCTAAATCATAAGGAACAGAAATTACGGTTCCAAAACCAATTACTTTTTTGCAAGTTTTACTTCCAGAGTTGAATTCATTAACAAAAACTCAGCTGAGGAACTGCTAAGTATTTTTGAAACTCTCATATGCTGCTCGATATTGGTCTGGAGTAAGAAATGTGGTGTTTACTTGGATACTTTCTTTATCAACACTGTGGTTAAACCCTCAGCTCAGACTTCTGCTCCCACCGTGTGTGTGACGTGAGTTGAACGTGTGTTCCAGGGCCGCTGCCTGACAGGTTTCTCTCCATCAGACTTGAGAGTAGGATGACCCAGTGTGTCTCTTTGACCTCAGTGAAGGACAGAGATAATATCTATCCCAGATGAATGATGCTTTTAAATTCTCTATCTTTTCTAGGAATAGCTCAGCAGCCAAGCTAGACCAGAAGGATTATTAAGATTTGTGCCTACCTCAGCTCCTTTGATAGCTTGGCTCTTCTGGCTTGTATCTGTGTATTCATTTTCACAGATTGAGAACGAATAGCCAGGCGCTCATCCACACTCACACTCACGAAACACGGAGACCAGGGTACTCAGCAGAGACTGTCTCAAGCCAAGGAGGCTTTGTATAACTCACTTGTCAGTGAGTGTAGACCTTTTGTCTCAACCTGAGATACTTGTTTAAGCCCCGCCGCATAGGTGGCCATGTGGTTTCCTTACAGCAGACTGCCTTCAGGTCTGCTTGCAGTGACCTTACTGGAACACACGCGAATCTGGGTGAGAGCCAGTCCTCCACGTCGGCCAGTGACGTGACGCCAGGTGAACGCACCCACCTAATGAAGCCCTGTACAGAAAAGTTGCCATTTCTATTAATTCTACATTCACATCAAAGAGGCCCGATGCCCATCTTACACCACAGATAGCTAATAACTAAGAAAGCAAAGGTGGCCTCTTCCCGGGCGCTGGGACTCCAGATGATGAACTTTAGTTGGTAGCTGCTCCTCACGTACAACTCCATCTGAAGTTGCGTGATACGTAATTAGGTATCGAGGTTATTAGAGTCACTGAATTGCAGGAGTGGAAGAAAACGGCTAAACAGATAATAATACACAGTTGTGTCAACTGCCAAGGTAAGGAAGGCTCCTGGGAATTAGGTCACATAAAATGCCTGAACCATAGGAGGTTGGAAAGAAGCCACCCTTTGAGGTTATTTAGTCTTCCCTGGCACCCCTTCCGCCCCTGCCTGAAAAGTGACAGTGTCAGTCTTCTGCAGGGCAGGTGGCCAAGGCTGATGGCCAGGAGGTCTGCTTCTCAGCCTTCCTTCCTCTGCCAGTCAGTTTTTGTATGAGAGCCCTTAAAATAGCTTTTCGATTTTTCTTCAGTCAGTCTGTTCTTTACCTTACCAGTTGCCCTGTAACAGGCAGTGTCAGCTCACCAGTGCTCCATTAAAATTCTGTGGTGCCCAGAGCCACGGATGCAGACTTCCGTGGGGTTATTGCTCCCTTGACCTGGACACCATCAAGCATTAAAGCTGCATTAGCCCTTTAGCAGTTTCCTCACCCCGTTGCCTCAGATAGAGCTTGTGGTCAACAAAAATGTTCAGGTCTCTTTTACATGAACTGCGTTTAAGCCACACATCTCCTATCCTGTTCTTATGCAATTGATTGCTTACCAATCATGCAGAATTTTATTTTTATCTCTGTTAAAAATTGTATTTTGTTGGTTGCAACCCAGTATTTCTCAATGAGGGTCACAGTGAAAATTTGGGAAGACTCTTCCTTTAGTGGGACTATCTTGTGCATTGCAAGATATTTAACACCCTAATCCCCTTCCCCCTAAACACCAGTAGTCACCTCTGATCATTATGATCAGCAGAATTCCACATGTACAAATACTCTCTGGCTTGAGAATAACCATTTGTGCTCATCTTTCTGACCAGTCAAGAATGACTTTCATCAGAACTGTCCTTTAGGGAATTTCCATCCACTTGGCCCCCTATTTTATTTATATATTGAAAGTAATGAGGTCTAGCAGTCAGTGGTGGCCCCAACCTAAGCCCAAGGCCCAACGGCAGGCAATGGAGTGGTCTTTCCCATGCAACTGTCATCTAGCATTTGTAGTGGCTATTGCTCCAACCTTATATGAACACTTATTAGAAATGTGTCTGTCCAGGTCACTGGTAAAAATGTTGGCTGGGACAGGGTCAAGTACAGAGCCCTTAGAATGCAGCCAGGGCTTCCTTCTGGGTCACTGGCTGAGAAGGAAGAGAGCCCCGAATGCCACGGTGCACTCTTGTGATTTTAATGACTTTCCTGGAAGGCTCAATGATTTCTTTAATAAAGTTAGTCACAATATAAGTCAATTAAAGCAGCTTGGTCTTTTGCTTCACTGAGAAGAGAAGGGAAAAGGCCCTTAACCATAGACACATAGTTAGTGATTTTCTAATGGAATACTTTCTTCATTAAAAAAAGAAGAAAAGAGCAGAACAGTGAGCCTGCATGCCACACTCTATCTGTGATCATGTCTCTGGGTTTAGTCTAGTCACTTGTTGGAGATGGATTGTTATCAACCTGCTAAGCTTCAGTTGGTTGAGTTGGTCTGGTTCCCTAACTGATAATAGCTAGGTTAACTTTTGGTCATTAAGACCATTAGGCTAGATCATTTATCTGAAAGTTAGTTCATTTCTTAGTGGCCACTATTATGTTGACAAGAAACAAAACATATTTGAGCATCACAATGGGTCAGTTTGATGGATGTGTATAGAGGTCATTGTGATAATGCAGATACAAAGAAAGTCTGTGTATCCACATCATTTCATTACTCTTTTTACCCAGACTCATTTAACTATTGCCAGGTACTTGAGTGAGTGGCACTAAATTCCAGGTACCATTTTACATATTGAGTGAGACTTCGGGATGATAAATTACATCATCTAGCTCTGGTGGAACAAATTCATCGTGTGCTTAAGTGAACATGCCTTTGAAATGACTGGTAAAGAAAAGCATTTGAAGCCTTAATGTTTAAGGAAAAGGAGAGGGGTAAAGAGTTGAGATCAGAAGAGATGAACAGAAAAAAAAAGAAAAGCATTTCATGAACCTTGAATCTTGAGCTGCCCAAGTAGCCTGCAAATAAGAGAGACCTTTTGAAATTCTCGTTTCTCTACAAACGGGAGCTTTTTACCGCCAAGGAAGAATTCCTCATTCAGTACAAACCAGGTGCTCACTTTTAAAATTGCAAAAGGTGCCTGCATTGAGCAATCAGAGGCTGGCTTATTCAGCGTGTGTAGGAATTTCTAATGGAAAACTTTAGAATAAGTGAAGGGATGTTTTGCTTTAGTTTATATACATATTCCTGCAGATTTGTAAGATAATAAAACGTGAATATGAAGAAAACATGGCGCTAACAATTTTTGGAATAGTACTAACCATCTTCTCATTTATTTTATTGTGTATTTGTATACCAGATTCTCTTAAAGTAGGCCACGCACCTTCACCAGGTTATCAGGGGCAAGGCATAGCCTACCATTCCACCAGGCACAGGTGGGAGGTCAAGCAACTAGAAACAGTGTGTTACTAGCAACTACTTACTCTAAGTGCCACAAAACCATCAGGATTTGGGAGAGATGAGAGAAGAATCAGACCTGTGAAATGAACAGCTCCATAGGTACAGCCCCTAAAAATGATCTTGGTTCAAGCAGCCCTGGCACGTGACAGACAAGCTTCTAGGTGATGTGGAATTGGCAACCACCCTTGACATGTCGACCCACTGCTACTTTGGTCTATGCATGTTCCTCTGTTCTCACTTTCTTCTTTATTCTAACATCATGTGACATAACCCAGCATTCCCATCCTCATGCCTCACAAGAGCTCCTTGCCTTTAGTGGGCACTTACTAAATGTTTGCTAACTCATCTGCATCTCCTGGGTTGCATCGCTTTGTCTCTGGCATCTTTTCTGTTCTTTTTCCATCTGAACA